TCTCAGAGCCTATAAATAGAAAAGTATAGATTTACCTGCACTGAAAGCTTATCTATTATAGTATTAAATTTAATATTTCTAACCTTCTAGAGTCTCAAAAACCCCTGCACAGAAAACATGCACAATGTGTTTGTGCACTGGTGATGTTGTCTGCAGAATCCATACAGCATCCTCCTGCCTCAGAGCAGGGAGGCAACCTGTTCCCTTGCACCAGCAATGCTACTCTTTCATTAAACATGTTCTACTGCAAGCCCACAACAGAGCATGGGATAATTAGCTAGTCCATAGCTACCAAACCACCTGAATTTAATGCAGTTCCAAAGCCGATTAGTAGATAAAGAGGTCGAATGTAACATGCAACCCTGCAAGAGTGCATCCAGGGTTAATAAATCTGTAATGTTGCAATTCAGTCTTGCCCAAATTGACTTAAATAATCCATGGCATCTGAATAGATTGCAGCTTTATTTTCCAGTGACAAAGATGTATACTAATCCATCTACCATTTGTAATTTACTGTGTTATGAATTCTCAATAAAATATGTGATGAGTAGCATTAAAATGAATCAAATGTATCCAAATGTATAACCCAAGAGGTTTTTGCTTAGAGAACAGGATCAGATTTACATAGAGTGGAGGATCATCCTCCAATTAAATTTAAGTTTTATTTCAAGCAACATTTATTGATCCTTACATTACCTTTGAAGTGAAGAAGTGAAATGAGTCCAGTAAGAACTTCCTGCTTCTAACCAAATCTCATAGTAAGTCTGATTGACTGAAAGCAACTTTAGGATCCACTGTTAAAGCAAGATCAAAAGGCTGACAGTGAAATAAAACCAATTCAAATAAACCTAAACTGAGTTTAGTGATGATGGATATCAACATTAAGAATAATTTAGATAACATTTTTTAACTTGTTTCGGAATGTTTTAAAAGTAAGCTTCTGTATAACTCCTTATTATTTAATATCTAAATTATGTGCTCTGCCAACACTTTCTGCCACTACTGCAATGAAAAACCATATATTTAAATGTGATGCAAATAACTTGAGTAAAAGAACTGACTTCCCATCATTCAGGGGCTAATATCTCCAGCTGCAGATCTTAGCAGCAGGCATCTCAATCAGGAATAGTTTATGTCCAATTTTAACAAAGGTCTAAAAGTAAAGAGAAAATTGCTTAAGGAGCACAAACACAAAGTCACAGAGTGTAGCCTGAACATTTTTAGTTCCGGGGAACTATCCATGTCTTTGTTCAGTTGGCCTATTAGGGCTTATCCACACTTCCTCTTGCCCTGCTGCTTTCCATGGGGAAAACCGCTCTTTAGCGCTCAATGAGAGCAAACAGCAATTTGCGTTTTCTCCAGATTGCCACAGATCGCTTTTTTGAAGATGACATATGTTATCACAAAGAAGACGATGCTAAGTATGTTCTTAACATAAATTTCCCACTTATTTTCCAGAAATATTCAGTAAAGCGACACAAACATTACTGTCAGATATACTAACTGTCTAGTAAAGACAAGTATGAAACAGAAAACTTTCTTGAATAGGATGAAATGGTAATGGTATGATAAGTAGCTTTACATGCTGTGGAAGAAAACACAAACTAAAAATCATTTCTTATCCAAATGCATACTCCAAAAGGGAATTGTAAAGTCAGAAAGCTCAACTATTGAAGTGGATGACATCAAACTAAAGATGCCGGAGAGGTCTGTATATTCACTAGACCTTTCTGCACTTCAATATACCGACTGTGATTAGGCAGGCAGTTATTTTGAAAACTAATAACCCATCTTTTGACTGCAATGCCCCACAAAATCAGCTCGCAGCATAATTTTAAATATATGATAAAATCACAGTGAAATGCAAGAAAACTTAAAAAACCAAGAGCCTGGGAACATGGGAACATCTCAACCACTTGCCTCAAGCCTTACAAAACTGGAGACCACGGAGATTCCCGAAAAACAATATTGAACAGGATAGGTGCCACCACTGGAAAGGCCTCTCCTGTAACTCAGCTAATTGTGCCTCTGAATGCAGTCAGACACAGACAAAGAGTGAAAGCAAATCCTGAGGTGTATACCTAAAGATGTTGGGTGTGAAGTGAACCTTATGTTATTATAGGTAGTTCTAGGACAAAAAATGATCTCAATTCAATTGAGTCTTCTGAGGATCCAAAATAGCAACTAGTGGAGGCTGGTCCATTAGGTAGAATGGAGCACAGGTCCATCAGCTTCAGCCTACCCTTAACCAGTTCCCATCTTCCTGCCTTCTTACTTACAACCAATCCAGGGGATGTCCCTGCCTATGACAGCTTCCTCTTCCTTCGTTTCAATGTTTTCCTTGCAGAACACAGAAGAGAGGAAGATAGGGACAAAACAATCAAGAGTGAGCTCTGCCTTACATTGTTTCTGGCTCCTCCTACAGTTGATGTTCTGCCCTACCAGAGTAAATGGCCATCAGCCACCACTGATAGCAGCCACAAGCTGACATCCCTTTCTAGCAAAGTCTGTCAGATCATTTTCAAGTATAGCCTAAAAGGGAAAAGGCCACAAACATTCTGAGTTTCACTGAAGATCTCATTATGAATCTATTATACTCCATAACAGGAAAAAACCTAGATCAGCATATGCCTATTTATATCCTATTTACATGTCTGCAAGAACTGTTTATCAAGAAGAAGAAGAAGAAGAAGAAGAAGAAGAAGAAGAAGAAGAAGAAGAAAAGTTTGGATTTGATATCCCTAAGGAGTCTCAAAGCAGCTAACAATCTCCTTTCCTTTCCTCCCCCACAACAAACACTCTGTGAGGTGAGTGGGGCTGAGAGACTTCAGAGAAGTATGACTAGCCCAAGGTCACCCAGCAGCTGCATGTGGAGGAGCGGGGATGCAAACCCGGTTCACCAGATTACGAATCTACTGCTCTTAACCACTACACCGCACAGGCTCTATGTATCTTATATATACATACTTACCTCAGAGTCCTTCTGAGTAAGACATGCTCTGTAAATGTGCACCCCTCTGAAAGTCCACAAACTGTCTTGTTTAGTATTTGCCTATCCTCTAGGAAGTGGAATGAAGTGCCCAAGTAAATTAATGGCAAACACTTATTTATGCGCGCGCGCACGCACACACACACTCCAAATAACAACCATTCTATTACTATTTTGCTGGTTGCATTTGTACCAGTGCCCAGATGTGAAAGGCTGTATTTCACATTACCAGCTTGCTTTCCTGAGCAATTCAATAAATTACTTCCAAGTCACTTTCTTAGACACTAATCTGCTATAAATCTAATCCCTAACAGCAAAAAGACAACCTGAGCCTGCTGAATGCCAGTGGTTTTAGTGATCTGACCTACTCCAGCAAAAATCCCTAATTAAAATGTCCCCACCTGATTAGCATTATTCCAGAATAAACCCTCATAGGTTATATCACAATAAAGGTAGGACATAATTGTGCCACGATTCTCCATATTGAAACAGTGGAGTTTTCAAAGAGAACAATTAAATGTTCAAATGTTCTTCAGAAGCTGTTCCGTTAATTAAGAAGCTTTAATAAATATTTAATTGCATTTTAAAAAATGTTTTAACTTCATTGAAAAATGTTCTGCTATATTTAACATATTATATATGATTATCCAATACTGTATATACAAACCCAGTTACAGACTTAAGAATATTATCTTAAGGTATAATTGCATATTGTTATTAGCAGAATCAACACAGCAATCCAAACTCTGGCTGGGGAGGGGTAGTCCTTAACTGAGAGTTGGTGCCACTGCTGCTTCTGCAGCCTGTCCACTCACACTGGCTGGGGCAGAAGGCAGGGGACAAATAAGTTTCTGCACCAGGAGCTGGGGCAATGACCAGGCCTGGATCAAGTGACAGCAGTGGGGTTGTCTTGGAATCCAGAGAAATCTGGGCTGACTTAGTCATGCCCCAGAATGCCCAATTTGGAGTCTTTCCATAAGCTGTATCTGGTGCAGGGTTGCACCAGCATCACTTCATAGGTGGAGACTTCCAGGGCTACGTAGAGGAAAACCTCTGCCCAGTCCACCCAACACCCCCTCCAGATTGGTGCAAAGGGGGTTTCATTTGCTGCACAAGAATTGCTTAATACTATACTCATGGAGGACTGCTTCAAATGCTATGCCCTGTGGAAGCTGCAAAAAATAAATAAATCTATGTTATTTGAGCTGATATGATGAGGCACCACACTTTCTTGTCTGGTTCAAACATCACAGTAAGCCATAGGCTGAAATCAGCACTATTTCATTGTGGACATGCAGTGTGCTGGCACATGCTATTTAGGGTTTGTCTGTTTGTCCTGTGCCTAGGAAGTGGGATCTGAGCAGTTTTCTGCTTGACCCACAACTTTTAAGCATGGGTCTGAGTGGTTTTCCCCTTGCCCCACTCCTTTCTCAGACAAAACCCCCGACTCTTTAGTGTACATGTCAACCTGGAGAAAACCCAAATTGACATTTGCTCTTTAAATTCCTCCTTGAGCATGGAGACAGTGGAGGAGGGGGTGGAGGAGCCTCTCGGGGGGTTCTGGAGGCATGGTCTCATCTGAAAGTTCTGCAGGCTATAAGAATTTAGGGATCCCTGACAGCTTTCCCCTCAACTTCTGAACTTGCTCCCTTCCCCCTTACTCTTGCTGACCTGCACCCAGTTCCCAATCTATTCCTCCTGATGCTGCTGGCAGACGCCTTGCAGATACTGCTGGCACCAGTGAAGGTACTGGTGATGGGAGAATTTCTCCTTACTTTGGGAAATGGAACCCTACAACTCACTGGTCCCTTCCCTAAGATCCTCCTCAGCCCCACATTCCACCCTGGGCACACCCCCAGCTTTACTCTCTCTCTCACCCCCTTTTTCATTGACCCCTTCATTCTCCTATTCTTGTCAGTCCCTGACAGAAGCATCACATATAGGTGAAGCATCATAGAGTTGGAAGGGACCACAAGGCCCATCAAGCCCAACCCCCTGCAATGCAGGGAACTTTTGCCAAATGTGGGGCTTGAACCGACGGCCCTGAGAGTAAGTGTCTCATGCTCTACTGACTGAACCATTCCAGAACCCCTCAGAGTCAATACAATGCTCCCAATGCTGTAGCTACACAGTGTAAGCTCCTTGCTGCCTTGCCTTTCCTTCTGTCCTTCTCAGTAACCAACTGGTACGGGGTGTTGGGGAATCACGTCAATAATACCGCCCTGCCCACACCACCAGCCACTACTGCTTGGGAGGAAAGGTCTACTCAGTTTAGAGGAGAAAGATTCCACTGTAAAATAGGTGACAGGTAGAGCTGGCAGTGAGATTAAGCATCTCTCTGTCTCCTCTTGCTGGGCTAAGAGATGCCTATTGAGCTCCTTAGCTCCAGCACTCCCTTGCTTAACTTCCAGCTCCCACTCAAGGTGCTGGACATGGACACTGTTGCAACAACAACAACAACAGTGTGTCCTATGAAACCTTAAAATTAGCACAGTTGCTATGGAGTACGTTTTTATGGACTATAGCCAGTCATATCACACATGCTGGATGTCAACCAAATAAAAACAGGGTTACTTCCCAATTTTAAAAAAGGTGAGGTGTTGACAATGTCAATAGCTCTTAAGTGCAAACTGATAACCTGAACCAGCTCCTCACTAGCAACAACAGATCACATAACAGAAACGAAAACAAAGGACAATAACCACCAAAAGCTTCCCTTCAGTGCAAGGATTTACGTTTGTGCAACAGAACTTTCCCCACTCTCTTCCACCTGGGCATGACCTCGGCCCACCCGGAGGCTGCTGGGAAATCCTAGAAACAGATTTGGGGGGCATAGTGGCGAAGTTCCACCTGCACAAGCATAAATCCTTAGATTGATATGACAAGTTCGTTGGTACCAGAGACTAGACCTTGCAGCAAGCCGATATGCCAACTCTGTCCTCATATGTATGAAGACAATACCGTTATAGAATCCAATAATGTCAGTTACAACATCAAAGGTTCATCTACCTGCTCTATCAATACTGTCCTTCTGCTATCTACACAGGACAATCAGGTCTGTCTCCAGGCAAAAGTCTAGATGGACACAAATCTGACATCAGGATGCGAAATATTTGGAAACCAGCTCTGCTGACCTTCATGTGGCTATTCTTATACAAAGGAACAAAGGGAGAATCCAGCATGAAATTGCTTCACACTTATTAAGAAGTTCAATTCTATCACATGTGGTTTGAATTGAAATGACAGTTTTAGTCCCTCTGCAGGTGTTAATTAACTTGGCAATGCCAGGATGTTCTTCAACTCTGCTTTGTGAATGGGCACTGCTGTTACTTTATGTTACATCTAAACTTTTTCATAATTGTCACCGTCTGTATCTTTTATGTTTAATTTGCCTCTGATCTCTCTGCTAACCAATTTTTCATCCCCTCCCCCCTCCGCCCTCCCTCTTGCCACCAATGTACAGTGGTACCTCAGGTTAAGTATTTAATTCGTTCCGGAGGTCCGTTCTTAACCTGAAACACCACTTTAGCTAATGGGGCCTCCTGCTGCCGCCGGGCCGCCAGAGCACGATTTCTGTTCTCATCCTGAAGCAAAGTTCTTAACCTGAGGTACTATTTCTGGGTTAGTGGAGTTTGTAACCTGAAGTGTATGTAACCTGAAGCATATGTAACCCGAGATACCACTGTATACATTTACCTCCAAATTCAGGGTATCATTTAAGGCACCTGATAAAATAGAATCTGGCCATGACAGTTTAAGTGCCACAAGATTCATATTTTTGGCAGTGGACTAACATGGCTACCCTTCTGGAAAATATTCTGTTCAGTTTCACTTGATATTAATTAATTTAATATTCCAATAGATATTTATTTGCAAGAATAATTGGCAGGAGGAAACTGTGTATAGGAGTCACATGTAAGTTACAACATTACCTTTCTACTTTGCAATATATACAGAGCTTTGCTTAATTTTGCTAGTAATTAAATATGTCTGGAAACCAAATGCATCATGGTGACGGGTATAAAGGAAGCTACCTAAAGAAGAACTTGCTAATTATCAAATCCAAAGAATACAGTACAGATATTATTATTATTTCTGGAAGTTTTCTGCAAATCCAATTTTATGTGTTGAAATTAGCTTTCATTTGACTCTGAAACCCCCCAGAAAGTGTTAACAGTTAACCACCAAAAGGTAGAACCTTCAGCATGAGGCCAATTTCTCTTAACTGAGATGCTGATGTGCCATTCAGTTACCTTGATTTATTCCATCCCCTGCAATTGGGCTTTTTTAAAAATAAACCCCTGTGGTTGATGATTTTCCTTGGTAGTGAGCAAAGATCAATTGTCCATTTCAATTAGTTTTAGTCTATGAGGCTTATTCTTAAAGAACTATTCAGGTGAACTGGAAGATGCTACATGTTAAGTGAATTTTACATCAAGTGGTAATGGTTATTCTTCTTTTTAAAAATGGAGATTAGAATAATTTCAATCTACTAAATTTCTGAGTACAGAAAACTGGTGACACTCCTATGGAAATATTGTGTTTGGTGTTGTTGTTTTTTACCTTGACTATGTGGGTTCATATCCCACCCACAGGGTGGGCCAGTCAACTAAACACAATGAATCCTGCTTTCTTTTCATGATAGGACAAGGTGCCTAGCAATAAGGAGGAATGGTTAGAGAAGGCAAGTAGTGAATAGAAGCAGATGTGAGTTACTAGAAATATATAAGATTTACCCTTTGTGCACAATGATGATACCATTATCTGACCATGGATCGATAACTTTTGTGTGCTGCACAAGGCCTGTATACCGCTGACAGTTAAACAAATGTTTAAAGTAATGATAGAAGAATCTGACAAATGGATCAAATAAAGCTTACTCCTCTACATTTCATGTAGCAGTTCAAAAGGCAGTAACATCACAGCTTAAGGTGTTTTAGCACTTTAAGTTGTGTGAGCAGGGAGACAGGAACATCCTCTGGTACAAGGCTTCCCCTCCTGATCTGGGGCGATTTTCTCTTCTAAAACACAGGCTATGCTATTCATGGGGATCTCAGACTGTAACCCCGCACCCCCGGCAAGGCTTTTTAGGAGGTGCAGGGCTGCAGGGTGAAAGAGAAACATCTATGTCCATGGGAAAATACGGAGTCCCCTGTAAATTTTGTAATCATCTTCTGAATGACCAACCCCCCATGCCACATTGCATATGACACTCCTGTCCATTTAAAATGAGGGCCCACAATGTGCAATTGTTTTGTGGTTTAGCTTCCACCTCCTTGCCTCCTGCACGGGGCACTTGACAATTGCTGAGGGTCTCGGCCAACCAATTAATTCCTTTTCTGTCTGTTGCAAGAATGCACTGTGCTATATGACTTTTAACTGCATTTCCATTGCTTCTTTAATTATTTATAAATTGTATTTTATTGAATTACAATTTGAATATCCACAGAATTCACATTGTGATATGATAAAATACAACAAAAGGAACAAAAGAAGCAATAAATATATAATTAAAAATCAAGATGAATATTTAATCTGGCATCTTCAACCAGTGATCCATAGATGTGCTGCTGACCACCTGAACAAAGTTTGTGAAACACATTCTTGGGAACCCCTGGGATAGAGGAATGTTATTGGGGAACAAAGTTAAACCTTCCTTGAGTATCCTGCCATTCCACATGTATGATTATAAGTAGCTTATGGTGTTAACTGAAATTCTGAAACCAAATACAATAATGATGATGATGATAATAATTTTACTCTCTTTTTTTGTTCCTGCCTAATGCACAAAGATAGGTGCGGTTTTGCAAAGAAAAGTAAGATATACAGCAGAAAAAGACCTTTAAAACCTTTAAAAACCTTTAAAAAATATACTGCTGGAAATGAAAATGGGCACAAGCAAATTTTTTTTAAAAAAAACCCAAAGTGCATATATTTTCCACAGCAAGCACAGGCATATTAGAATAATATTCACAACAAACAGTAATGTTGACAGACCTGTGGAGGGAACACCTTCCCTTTTGGGTCAGGGGACATGACATAAGCAGCTTGTGTGTACGCATAGCTTTTGAAGCGAGGTTTAGGTGGAGGTGAAGGGGTGCGCACATGACCCTGTGCTACACTGACTTTGATCTAAGGAGAAGAAATTAGGAAGAAAAGCAGACACACACACACGGATGAGTATGCTTAATAGAAAGGACAGAATGTATACTTTCAGGGGGAAATGCCGGCAGTTTAATTCTATCTTGCAGAAAGCAGTGCTGCCATAAATAGTAAAAAAAAAAAAAAACTATGTGGAATTTAGTGAGCTGCTTTCATTAATATGACATCCTTTCATGGCAAGTAAAAAGACTCCTTGAAGTGCCAGATAATTATTCCTGGCATGACACCCCAAATCAGTAAAGGGCCTTTATAATTCAGCACACTCAGAAAGCAAAGTAGCAAGGACTCATAGTACGTTCTGAATAAATGTGCTCAGCAGTCAGCAAATGGCCATCTGATCAACAAATCTAAAAATGCTAGTGTCCCAGAAATAAGAGAGTTAATTAATAATTAGAATTTCTGTTCACTTCGAGAAATATAACTATCAGGCTAGCCTCTCATGGGAATGCAGTTGCCACAGTGTGCCCGCTTAAGTAAAGAAATAAATAGTTTCAGAATTTCCATACACATCTAAATTTGAGTTACGATAAGAACTTTTTTTTTTTTTTTACAAGGAACTGGCACCACAAGTAAACAACCCCTGCAATTTTTCAGGGGAAGAAATTCAAGCAACTGTAACTCTGTTTTACACCATGAGATACAGCTACAGAAATGCATAACCAAAGGAGAGATACAGAGGTTTTTCACTTCATAGTGACAGCTCTATATAACCTAACCCTAAGGAGGGGGAAATCACTTGCAAAATCATTTTTGTCCTAGTCAAAGAGCTTGGAAGGCCCATGGATGTGTGGGGAGAAGGAACCGGGGCGGGGGGGATGCCTGGAAAACAAAGAGCAAGAATTGGTCTCTAGTACCTTCAAAGTAACTCTGGTAGTTCACAACTGAAAGTGTTATACCGCCTGGGAAAGTTGATGTCAGTAAGTCA